CTAAAGAGCAGTCAGGGTGATCTCTTCTAGGACTGACCGGTTTGAACGCATTGCAGTCCAAGGGACTTGCAGTAGTCTTCTGTAGCACCATAGTTCAAAGGCCTCAATTCTTTGTCACTCAGACTTTTTTATGGTCCAATTTTCACATCCATACATTGCAACTGGGAAAACTATGGCCTTGACTACATGCACTTTTGTTGGCAGGGTGATGTCTCTGCTTTTTAGTATGCTGTCTAGGTTTGCCATAGCTTTCCTCCCCAGGAGCAAGCATCTTTTAATTTCTTGGCTGCAGTCCCCATCTGCGGTGATCTTGGAGCTCAGGAAAATAAAATCTGTAACTACCTCCATTTCCTCCTCAGCTATTTGCCAAGAATTGAGAGGGTTGGATGCCATGATTTTGGTTTTCTTAATATTGAGTTTCAAGCCAACTTTTGCACTCTCCTTTTCACCCACATCAAGAGGCTCTTTAGTTCCTTTTCACTTTCTGCCATTAGAGTGGTATCATCTGCATATCTTAAGTTGTTGATATTTCTCCCGGCAATCTTAATTCCAACTTTTGATTCATCTAGCCCTGCCTTTCTCATGATGTGCATATAAGTTAAATAGGCAGGGTGACAACCTGCCTCCAGAAGTTGTGAATACTCCAACACTGGAAGTTTTTAAGAAGAGATTGGACAACCATTTGTCTTAAATGGTATAGGGTTTCCTACCTGAGCAGGAGGTTAGACTAGAAGACCTCCAAGGTCCCTTCCAACTCTGTTATTCTATTCTATTCTATTCTGTTCTATTCTATTCTATTCTATTCTATTCTATTCTATTCACAGAAGGCATTATTTATGTCATTACCAAGTTGTTATCACCATTTCAAGGTTCTTCAGCCACTATATATACTGTATGAAGTCAATATTTACCAAAATGTGGGTCCAAATTATTAGTTGAGAACATGAAGGCACTCTTGAAAATGCTCTAACTTATTTTTTAACCAAAAAAACCCTACAAAATCAATCACCAGTCCATGAATATAGTTACAATTACCTGGTTTCAGCAAGTTATTCATTGAATTGTACTAATAGAAGTAATAATAATAACAACAACAACAATAATTGCTTGAGCAGGGTCCGTAAGATTGTTTGGGACACTATACATCCTTTCCATGACTTGTTTTCCTTGTTACCTTCTGGGAGGAGGCTCCGTGGTATCTGAAGCAGAACATCCAAATTCAGTCACAGTTTTGTTCCATACAGTATTAACCTTGTGAACTCTCAAGCTTTCTCTTGCCACACTGTATTCAAGATGGACAGTGATTAATATTTATATGTATTTATATATAAGAGTGTATGTCTATGCATATGTTGTATATAGTATGTTTAAATGTGTGTTCTGTATGTGTACACTTTGAGAGCAAGCTACTAAATTTCATTTTTAATGTGTGCTGTTGTGCCCACAGAACAATAAAGGTAATCTAATCTAATCTAATCATATTAATCCCCCATGAGACACTACCTTGACATGGTTGTGGGGCTTGTGTGCTCTGAGGAAGATGAGAGGTTCAACCATACTGGACAGGTCTCATTAGAGGAGTCAGAAAATGAGTGTCTCTCCCATAAAAAAAATATGGTGAGACATAAGTTTCAGAAAGCCATACCAGCTCAGATGTCACCTGGGTTAATAAGGTCCATGGTAGATGTTGGAATTCCTGGATATCTGGTGAAAAATGGGCTACAGGACTCTCAAGACTGTTGGCTGAGTAAACAGGACCGGAAGCTGCAGAACTACTAGAAGAAAAGGTGTTTACCAGTGGCAAATACACAGTGATCAGGAAAAAAAAGAAATAATGGACTGTTATTACAGATCAAGTCCAAAAAGAAGATGATAATTGAGAGGAATGGACCAGTTCTGGAAAGAACATCTAGAATCAGAAATAACAGAACAGAGGTTAGCAGATCAATGTCAGTTTATAATATGAAATAAAGTATTCACAGAAGCAGAATTGGAAGAACTGCAAAGGTTTACCCAGGGCAAAGAAATCAAAGCCTTGCCAGAAGTAACTCAGAATGTAGACCAAACCAGGGGCAGTTGGCAGTAGAGGAATCCAACAGAGATATAAAACTGTTTTCATTTGGAACCAGACATCCTCTTCTCTGCCTCTAAATAAAAAAGAATTGAAACAAAGAATAACTGAGCACTTAGAACAGCACAAAAACATCAGAATAAGATTGCCTGTACTGAAGCTTATTCCAAAAAAACATCTAGTACAAGCATTAAAAGATGCAAATACTGCAATATCAAGTATAAGCACCAACTCATTGCAAGAAACAAACCAACTAATGTACAGCATAGCTGCAGTTATAACTGATTACTTGGGATGCAAAATCAATAAAGAAGAAGAAAAGCCAAAAAGCACCTCAAAATGAAAGATTAGATTGGAAAATAAGATCAGCAAGTTCAGATCAGACTCAAGCAAGCTAGAATAGATGAAAGAAAAAAGGCTGAAGAATAAGAAGACCAAAGAACAACTAATCAAGAAATGCCACTTAGAAATTAGGAAAATCAAGGAAGCACTGGAAATAATAAAACAGCAAATAACAGCTATAGCCAAGAAGATCAGCAGATACAAAGCTAAAATTGCAAATTATAGGTAGAACTTCCAATTTCAATCCAATCAGAAATGTTTCTATTAATCCATCAATGGAGAAACTGCAGTGAATCAGTCAGTGCCTGACAAGGAAGAAACAGTGCAGTTCTGGACATAGATACAGGATAATCCAAAGAAATACAACACGGATGCAGCATGGTTAAAAGAATAGAATAAGAATAAAAAAGAAGTTGAAATGAAAGAACTAGTAATAACAGCAGAAATGGTAGAGAAAGAACAAGGAAGATCAAGAATTGGTCAGCACCAGGTGAAAATGAACTGCATGGGTTTTGATTGAAACATCTAACTGATCTATACCCATTTGTTGCCAAGCAGTTCAACAACATACTACAAGGAACTGAAATTGAAGAGTGGCTAACATCTGGAAAAACCTACCTGATAATAAAAGATTCAGCAAAAGGGGCAACACCAAACAACTACAAGCCAATCACTTGCTTACCAACAACTTCAAATTTCTAACTGGTGTGGTAGCTGATGCAGTCCAACAGCATTTAGTTGAAAACAATCTCCTTCTACTTGAGCAGAAAGGAAATGCCCCAATAGCAGAGGAACAAAAGATCAACTTCTAAATGACAAAATGATTTTGGAAAACTACAAAACAAAGAAGATCAGCCTAAATGTAGTGTGGATTGACTATGAAAAGGCATTCAACTCTCTGCCACATGACTGATTAATCAAATGTCTAGAGATAGCAGGAGTCAGTAGAAACATCAGAAAGTTTGTGCAAAGATTGATGGGACAATGGAAGACACAGTTGCAGGTCAATGGTGAGAAACTGAGAGAGGTTAATATCAAAAGAGGAATAGTTCAAGGAGATTCACTATCACCACTACTATTTGTCATTGCACTGTTTCCTCAGTAAACAATACTCAATAACTTGGGGCAGGGCTATCAAAACATCTGCCAGACTATCCACCTCCTTTACATGGACGATCTGAAGCTATATGGAAAAACACCATCTGAAATAGAATCGCTGCTCCATACTGTCTGTATATATAGCCAAGATATTGCAATGGAGTTTGGATTGGACAAATGTGCCACACTCACTATCAAACAACTGAAGGAATCAAGATGCCACATGAAAATTACATTAAGAGTCTGGAGGAAGATGACTATTATAAGTATCTAGGTATCTTTCAAGCTGACAACATCAAGCACAATGAAGTCAAGAAAAAGGTTAGAGGTGAATACATCAAGAGAGTGAAGAAGATCTTAAAGTCCAAACTCAGTGGAGGAAATACCATCAGGGCAATCAACATCTGGGCAGTTCCAGTCATTAGATACACAGCTGGAATAGTGGACTGGACTCAAACAGAACTAAAAGCAATAGATAGGAAGACCAGAAAAATAATAACAATGAATCATGCCCTTCATCCTTGCAGCGGCATTGACAGACTCTACCTACCAAGGCAAATAGGTGGGCATGGAATGTTGCAAGTACATCAGATGGTTGAAGAAGAAAAAATGGCTTTGGAAGAATATCTGAAGAACAACGATGAAGATGTATTAAAGGTAGTATGCCAGGAAGGCTTACTGACTACTGGAGGGATCAAAATGGCCTACACGAACGACCAAATGAAGAACAGAATAGAGGTGTGAGAAGACAAAGCACTACATGGTCAATACATTAAAAAATAGTACGAGATGAACCAGCTTCTTCAACAATACTTGAGGTGCTACTGCACCTAAAGTCAAGACAGCTGGCCATCATTATTTTCACTTGCAAAATTTTCATACCACAATCCACTGCATTGATTGACTTCAATGACACCATTTCAATCCATGTATGGCACACATCCTAAACTATTGCCAGACCACCCTGCACTGGACTCAGCTGTCCCAGGGGCAGACTCAACTTACAGGAGCAACTTGCTGTTCAACACCTTTTGGAAAAGCAGCTTGAAACAGGCTTACAATAAGGCAGCAGATGCCCATTGGCAGGAGTGCCCACCCATAGCAGTTGGAGACAAAGTTTGTCTCTCTACCAAGGTCTTAGCCACTTCAAGACCTTCCAAGAAGCTAGACACTAAATTTGTGGGATTTTCTGATTTCACTGGCACTTGACATAATGTTAGATAAGCAACCAACTATTTTGCTGCCTAGGCTTAATTGGAATTCAATTCATCCTGTATTCCATATTTTAATAGATTATGTGTATATTATATATCGATCTTAAAAACTGGGTTTCATGAACAAATACATGAAACTGGTTTGGTAAGTTTTTGAAAATTTCACTATTTCTGTAACACATGCAAGGACAGATCAAATTCCTATTGGAAAAAAACAAGAGTAAAGTTCAGAAGTCCTTTATTGAACAGAGCAGTCTGAGGATTCAGTAGAAAGAGAAGCTGGGCTCTGCTTATACCTTGCTTTGAAATACATGCTGGAATCATTTCAGTTTTCAAAATTCCTTATAATTTTTACTGAAAACTGCTTACTAAAAGAAAATGGATTGGATTGGAACAATTTTAATATTATTAATATTTCTTCTTGCAATTATGTTCCTTTTGAAAAAGGGCAGTTTCTGGAATAACAACTCCCCCAATCTCCCTCCGGGACCCAAGACCATACCTATTTTGGGAAATCTGCACATGATGGATCTGAAGAGGCCTTACAGAACAATGACAGAGGTAAAGCCTGGTGATTAACAACCATCTTTACCATTCTTTGTTAAAACTTGTTGGGATGGGACAAAATCCTGGTAACTTAGTCAGGTAAGTCTGATCTGCTTCCAGATGGTGTTTACTGTATATGGAAATATTTATCTGGTATCTGAATACATTTAAATATTCTGGAAAGATTATTTCAAGAAAATCTTTTTGTTAATCAATGTAAAATATTCTAATTGAATAAACAATTTTCTTATTCTTTATTTAGATTTGCAGAAATGTTCAAACCCCAAGGAGCCTTTGGGGAAATATAAATGCTCTTAAGCTGAATGACTGGATATGTACTTAGAAGCACATTTTTGTTTGCACATTTTAAGCAGAATTATAAATCAATAAATCAATTTCTTCAGTGATCAATACACAACCAAAATTAAGGGCAGAACGAGAAGTAAGGAGTAGAAACTTGTTAAAGAGAGATACAATCTAGAAGTTAGGACAAATTTTCTGACAGTGAGAACAATTAATCAATGGAATAACTTGCCTCCTGGAATTGTGGCTACTCCATCACTGGAGACTTTCAAAAATATACTGGACAACAATTTAACTGGGATGGTATAAGGCTCCTGCTTTGAGAAGAGGGTTGGAATAGAAGACCTCCAAGGTCCTTTCCAGCCCTAAAATTCTATGATTCAAAGTATGTCCTGCACAAATGACCGTGTTTCAACAATTCAGAAACCGTTTCTTAGCTTGACAAGCATTTCTGTTTTGTGAGGATTTTTTATTATATAAGCATTTATGTTAAATATAAATCACAAGAAAATTAAAAATTATAAAGAATAATATGCCATCACAATTGTCAATAGAAGAAAAAAGGGAAATAATATTATATGTGCCTTTTGAATTTTGACATGTAGTTTCTTAAACATCTATGTATGTAATTCTAATTATTGATTAAAATTGTCTCTTTGTTTCCCTTCTACTGAATTCCAGTGGTCAAAAGAATATGGTCCCATTTTCCGCATCAAACTGGGATTCCAGGAGATGGTGGTGCTGACTGGCTATGAGACGGTCAAAGAAGCTCTAGTGAACCAGGCTGATGCATTTGCAGATAGGCCCTTTGTTCCCATTTTTGAAGATATAGCAAAAGGGTTTGGTGAGTTATTTCGTTCTGGATTGTAGTTGACAAACTTTCAGATGTATGATCAGTATAATGTAGAACTTTTCATTTGAGGTTAACTGCCAGAAGAACCTCAGATGAGTGAGAGGCTTCTGCAAATCCAACCAGGATGAAAATCCAGCCAAAACCTTTATTGTGCCATTGTGACTTTGTCCCTCAGTGCCAATGGAGGTAACTGGAGAATAAAAAGTTGAGTCACTATTGTACCAAGCCCATGAGCCTTGCATACTGCTCACCACCATGTCTTATTCTGCATATTTGCAAATTTGGGGGTAGAGGGGTGGGTGTTTGAGGAATTCTAGTAGGAGGAATTTCTGCATTTCTCTCTTCTCATATACATGGTTATGCAAACCTTTTCTTTGTGCAATGTTTTTGCCAGTGTCTCTCAGATATTAAGACCCTTTCGACCAGCTAGTATTCATTGGGGAATTTCTGCATCCTTAAAAAATATTGTAAATTTGATTTTAAAAGTTTTAAAAATGTATGATTTTGGGATTTTGCAGCAGAAAGATGTTTGATATATGACATTTTGAAAAGTAATAATGGGTTAAGAGACCAGAGGAGTTGGAATTACAGTTTTGAATCATTTAGTAGAAGATATTTGCACATGGAAAAATGATGATTCCTTTCATCTTTGCTTTATATTATTTGTTTTGTTTTGATAAGGAGATGCTGAAGGCTGAACACCAAAAGCAGAGGATAAAGAAAATGGATGAGAAATCTTTAGCACAAATTTTGAAATACCTTCCAGACAAGTTCTTGGATAGACTGGATGAAACGCTTGATCAAATTGATGGAGCATGTTTTAATGAAGTTGTAAAACAAGAATGAGCTTCAAAGGATGGTAAAATTATATTTCATTATCTTACCCATTTTCTCTTCAGGTCTTGTTTTTGCTCGTGCTGAGCACTGGAAAGTGATGCGACGGTTTACATTATCCACATTACGGGACTACGGAATGGGCAAGAGGACCATTGAAGACAAAATCACAGAAGAGTGTAGTGTCTTAACGAAGACAATGGAGACTTATGCAGGTAATGGAGCATCTTCTGGGATAAATGTAGAACAGGAAATAATTTCTGCAGATTATAGCAAATGAACAAGGACTGTGTTGGGAGATACCTTCTCTCCAATAATTCTTAAACCCATTGTTTTCTCCCTATAAGTATGCTTCCTTGTCCAATTTATGTTAAGTATATTTACAGGAATGTGACTTATGGATGGCAGAATGGTTCCAGAGGATTTGAATTGATAATTCAGTGTAACACGACAGTCTCTCATCAATCACTTCTAGACTTATTCTTCTTTAGAGACTCCTGAAAACCCTCTATTTAGAGTGGGTTACAAGTTCTTCATCTAAGAATGAAACTATATTGTAAACTGGAATTCTTGCGCCTCCTGCTTTTGGTCAAGCCTTTTGGTCTTTAAAACTGCAATCATTTAATGAGCAGGCATTGCAATAACTTGCCAAATATTTTATTCTCAGGGAGTTCCACAGTTGCAAAGAAAATATCACTGATGTATGGCCAAATATTGCAATTCTGAATGAATTCAATGAATTACCATTGAAATAGTTTTTCATATTTTTAATTTAAACACTTCCAATGTCATCAGCAGTAGCTATAGCTTTCTATGAGAAATGCTGCCTTTGTGTAAGCTGCTCTTGAGTATAAATTCAGTAGAAAGCAGATTTAATCCACTCACAATTCTTTTTGACCTATTTGTCAGGAAAACCCTTTGACGTCAAAAGAATTCTGACTGCTGCTGTTTCCAACATCATTGTTTCTATTCTACTTGGGAAACGCTATGAATATGAAGATACCACATTTCTACGACTACTGAAGATAACTACGGAAAATATTCAGCTTGCAGGAAGCCCTGCTTTGTTGGTAATCTGATTTCTTATTTGAAAAAAAAAAGTCATGAAAAACAGGCACCAGAATGTTTGTCATTCAAGCTTTATTGAGAAGCAAAGCATGTTATCTGTAGCAGGATTGCATCCAAAGACAATGAACATGATGATATCAGAATTCAAATCCTACCTTTACTGTCAACCTCCAACTCGAGTATCCAAATAAAAAAATCTAATACAAATTAAAATGTCATCTAAATATATCAGCACTCCTTTATATAAAGCACTACATACACGAGCACCCTTTTTATATAAAGCAGCTTATATAGAGGAGGGGAAGAAGAAAAAGGCTCTGGAGAAAAAGAGGATGAAGCAAGAGAGACCGTCTACCCAGATTTTCCTCATTATTTTGGTTTATTTTTTTTGTGGACTTGGGGAACATTGTTTTTATAAAAATGTTTGCTATGTCCTCCTGAAAAATTCGAAGTATTTACTTCTATAATATAAGTTTTCCCTTATCATTCTTTCAGCTATATAATTTGTTTCCCAAGTTGGGGTTTCTTTTGGGTGCCCGTAAAATAATAATGAAGAATCAAAAGGAGTTCCATGATTTCATACAGACCACCTTCATAGAATATCTCCAAGATCTTGATGAAAATGACCAGAGGAATTTTATTGAATCATTTCTTGTTCGGCAAAGACAGGTAATGGATTATTTTACCCATGTCTTTTATTACTGATTTTTTAAAAAAATATTTTAAAAATTCACCTCCATATATACTACCTGCAGGTTGGTTAAGATCTTTATTTCAGAAATACTGAACGAAATAAATTTCCAAAGCAATTTTAATCATTCCCTCTTCTTACTTTATTTTAGAATCTACAGTTACTATACCCAGATTGATTTCTCTCTCCATTAAAAATGTCATAAATATTTATTCCTTTCTGGAGGAATAGGTCCAAGTGGGGATAGGAGTGGGTGATCCCTTTGGGCCAATCTTTTCTCTTTCTGTATAAATGTTTGATTTTAGAGTTTTCCTTTTAGAAATCCAATAGCGTTGGGGCAACTATAACCTCTCAATTGAGGCTATTACCCACATATTCTGACACAAACTTAAAATGATCTCTTTTAAATCCTGTCAGATAGTTAACTCAAAAGAAACGATCTTATAATAAACAAAATATATTTTAATGAGAAAGATTACTTGCGTTCACGTTGTGATTGGTGCTGCTGGAAATACATCTTTGTTCATCTTTTAGATCATCCCTTTAGGTAAGAAAGTGTTATTGCTCTTCACACCATCTTTATGTTTATAGGGAGACCTTCCATGGCCCATGCTTCTTACAGACAAAGAGATTCCCATGTGGCTTGTGTCCAGGAAGTCTCCCAAAGACCTTTGGAACTCCTCCCACTGACCCATCCACATACCTAGCATTTAACCCAATAACTGCCAGACCTTCCAACATAGAGCTGGGCCATAGAGCTATATGGGCCATAGAGCTATATGGGCCAGAACACTCCCCGCTTGGAAATTTATATTTCCACTACTAAAATAGTAAAAACGTAGCATCAAGGCATGCAATACTCATTGTGGTTAACTTGTGACTAAATAGGTAAAAACTTGGTATCAAACATGCATAACTATAAGGTAAACATAAAACATGCACAATTATGAAAAAGGCAAGTGTTACATCAAACAATGCATAAGACAATACATAATTTGAGGTTTAATCTTCTGGTTCAGTCTTCATCAGCGATGGACCAAATCGGTGATCAGCCTGGTACAAGTGTCTTTGAGTCACGACCTGACTCACGTGGCTTCATGATCTGGATCTCAGCTGGGTAAACTAGTTCATCAAGTAGGTGGCCCCGGTGCGCAGGAACCGTGGGCCAATAGTTCTGGTATGCAGTCTTGTCTCCCAATGAGACAAGGTCTTCTTCCTGTGAAGGAAACTAGAACCAAATCTGGAACAGAAAAAACTGGAACCCAAGCTTCTCGGGAATGAGGGGAACTGGATTCACAGGATACTCAGGAACTGAAAAACCTGGAAAGACATAAACAGCTGGATCTGGAAACTCAGGAACAGCTGGGGCTGAAGAATCAAGATCAGGAACATCAGGAAACTCAGGAACAGCTGGAGCTGGAAACTCAGGATCAGGAACATCTGGAAACTCAGGAACAGCTGGAGCTGAAGAATCAGGAACAACAGCTAGGACTGAAGGGTCAGGAACAGCAGCTGGAAGTGAAGAATCAGGAACAACAGCTTGAGCAGAAGACTCAGGATACTCAAGAACCGAAGGGTCTGGAGCCACCGGTGGAGTACTGAAGAGGACTGCTACTGTTGTCATCAGGGTGAGGACTTCATGTGTGGGTGTCAGTGTATTTAATGACATGGAGTCCATGAAAGGCAGTAAGTCCTTGCAGGCTTCTACAAGGCTAATTCTTGGGGTGCTGAGACAAGTGATCAAGACGATCAAAACTATGCCTAACTTCAGTTGTCTCCACTTAGACAGGGTTTTGAAGTGGATTGGTTGACGTTTACCGGGTGTCTGAGGTTGAAGGTTGGCACTTTGATCAGAAGCTGGAAGTGCATAATGTTTTGGTCTATGTGGCATCTGTCTATTTGGACAGGCCAAGAGCTGAAGACTTTCTAGCCAGATCAGTTCTGTTATCTACGTGGCAAGGTTGGGCCACTTCACTTGGTTAACAAAGTTCTTATTTGTTGGCACATGTTGCCATTGTTCAGGGCTTAAGGATGTTTCAATCCTTTTCTCTCTGTTGCTTACATGGACGTAGAAGTGTCCACTTTGTTTGCAGATGTAGCTTGACATCACCTTGCTGTCTGCGTAGAAGGTGGTGGACTGTAGTTCAAGGCACAACGTCTTTGCTGTCAAGTTGGTCAGCTTTACAGCCAAAGTGGTGCCATATAGCTGTAACCTTGGTACGGTGTGGCCTTCTTGTATTGTTAATCTCGCTTTTCCTAAGAAGACACTGAGACTGCAGCACTCCCCGCTGTAGACCCTGATGCATCTTATGGTTGCAAACAAGATAACATAAGTGTGGCTCTCCCCGCTGTAGAGTGAGACATATCTTAAGGCTGCAGACACCTTCGTAGGCACATCTAAGGAAGCATACAACTCTTTCTTCTGCACTGGGGCAGGTGAGCTGGAGACGTACATGCGCTGCACTTGCATGCTTTGGAGACATTTTGGGAGTACGCTCCATGACTCCCAGTCTTGGGGGCGTTGTTTGTCTTGTTTGTCATTTATGGACAAAGCTAAATTGTAGTAAGTCTTGCTTGTCTGGAACACGGTTGCTTCCAAAACAAGTTTGGTTGTTACAAACATGCGATGCTCTAGGTGCGGTTGGAGCACTGTTGCTACCAAAACAGGTTTGGTTGTCACAAGCATACAGTGTTGTTCTAGGCGCAGTTGGAACACTGTTGCTACCAAAACAGGTTTGGTTGTCACAAGCGTGCAGTGTTGTTCTAGGCGCGGTTGGAACACTGTTGCTACCAAAACAGGTTTGGTTGTCACAAGCATGCAGTGTTGTAGGTGTGGTTTTATGGGGTTCAATGGGGTAATAATGGTGGAAAGATCTTGTGGCACTCCCCGCTGTGCAGTCATTGCCATTGCTGGTAATCCCATCAGGTTCGATGTGGCAGCAACGGTGGGAGGATCTCGTGACCTAGGTGTCGTGACATCAACTCTGCGGTTGACCAGCAAATCAGGTCATTGAGATTCCTCTGTTCGTCTACTCGGTCTTGGGGGGCTTGTGGCTGGCTGTGGTGCTCTCATCTGTGCATTCTGGAATGCGCTTTGGTTGTCCACATAGGCCTGTACATGGCTGTGAGAACTTTCCCTTCCTAGACTTTCCAAATTGGGCGTTGACATGGCATCTTCTAACTCTCTCTGCAGGATCGCTTCTATTGCGGCTGCCTCTTTTGCTTTCTGTTGTCGCTGGAAAATCTCAAAGTTGGCCTGAGCTTTGGCCAAGTCTTCTCTATGTAGCTTGTCGTCTACTGCTACTTGTGCAGCAACGTTAGCCATTGCGGTATTGATCCGTGCTTCCCTGAGACGGGCGGCGATGCTCTCTGCTCCTGAGGCTTGAGATGTATGGCTCTGGCGAGAAGATGCCTTTGAATGGCGTGAGGGTCCTGTGACGTGCGGTTGTTGGGACATGCTGGAATGTGTCTTGGATATGTGGCGAAAAGATGAGGCTGTTTCAGACACGTGGGATGGATCTGTGTGCGACCATTGGGATGGTGCATATGAATAGCAGGAGACTTCAGACTCGGCCCTGTCGACCAGTCTGCTTTTCTGTCGAGGCTTGGGCTGTGGGGAACCCTGTGAGCTCTCTAGAAACTTCTTGCATTCCTTGTTTAGTACCTTGAGATTGTGCATCTTGCTATCGATTCTTGAGTCTCTTAATTGTTCCTGAATATCCTTTAGTTGCCATTCAGAGTCCATCCATTGCACATAGGCGTCTTCCTTATCTCCTTCTACTGCGTGTGCGCATTCTGGGGAGAGTTCCTCCTTCTGTTCATGGTAGAGTTTGTACAATCTCTCCCAGCCTCTTTCATGGTGCTTGTAGATTGACTCCCATCTTTCCATCAGATGTGAGTGCATGGCTGCAGTGGGCTGGTTGGTATATCTCAACTAGGCTGATAGGTTGAACCCCTTCTGCTAGACCAGTAGGACACTCAGCTATGGCTAGGATAGGTTCAGTGTCCTTCTCAGCTATTTTGAAGAGAATTTGAAGAACTTCTCTCTTTGACCACTAGGGGTTGCTACTTGTAGATCAGCTTCTGAGGTGCTGTCTGTGGGTGGAGATGCCACTGGGTGCGTTTTCCTGTGTTTGTGGGTACTTCAGTGCAGTTCACCCTTTCACCACTAGGGGTCACTTGCTGTGGGTCAGCTACCAGGGTGCTCTGGCTTCCAGGTTCACCCTTTGTCCACTAGAGGGGCTTCTCTGGGTGCGGTTAAAGGCTTGCGTGTAGAGCTTCCTTTAACCACTAGGGGGCGTCTGGAGAAAGGCTAGCCAAATTCTTCCTATTGCCACGTTACTGCTAGTGAGCCACTGAGAGAATGTAGAGGTACAAACTCCCACCTGCAGGCTGGAACTCCGGGTCATCAGCTGTGATAATAGACGAAGGCAATTGGCTCTTGCTTCCTTTCCCTCAAGCTGGAACAGCTTAGCCTTCAGCTTGAGTGAGTGAGTACTTTTGGTAAGTTCACTCTGTGCCCTCTAGGGGTGTTAAAAAGGCTAGCCAAATTCTTCCTATTGCCACGTTACTGCTAGTGAGCCACTGAGAGAATGTAGAGGTACAAACACCCACCTGGCGTGTTGCAGGCTGGAACTCCGGGTCATCAGCTGTGATAATAGGCGAAGGCAATTGGCTCTTGCTTCCTTTCTCTCAAGCTGGAACAGCTTAGCTTTCAGCTTGAGTGAGTGAGTGAGTACTTTTGGTAAGTTCACTCTGTGCCCTCTAGGGGGTGTTAAAAAGGCTGGCCAAATTCTTCCTATTACCACGTTACTGCTAGTGAGCCACTGAGAGAATGTAGAGGTACAAACTCCCACCTGGCGAGTTGCAGGCTGGAACTCTGGGTCATCAGCTGTGATAATAAGCAAAGAGACTTGGCTTTGATTTCTTCTGCCTAAGTTCCCTCAAGCTGGAACAGCTTAGTGCTCAGCTTGGGTGAGTGAGTGAATGCTTCTGGTAAGATCACTCTGTGCCCTCTGGGGGTGTTGGTAGCTTGGGATAACTTTAAGTAGCTTGCACTTTAACTAACAGATTTGCTCTGTTGTGTGCTGAATTAACTGTGGCTGTTGTGACTCAGCTAGAAGAAAAAATTGCATGATCACCAGGGGGTGCTTCTGCGATGATTCCTCCTTATAACATTGGCTGAAATTCCGAGCATACCTAGGGCTGTCACTATGGCAACAGATGAGTTCATTGAAAGGCAATAAACCTTGCTTTTGTCTGAACTTTAGAGGCAGTCATTAAACAGTTCTTTGTTTCAGGCTGTGTGATTCACTGGCAAATAGAGGAGGGGGGAAAGCCCAAGCTCCTTTTGGTGTTAAAATTCAAACATTTCATGCAAGGAATAAAAGTGTAGATTTTTTGTTTTTCTTTCTCCCCGCTATAAATATTAATTTGAGAACAGGTACAAGGTACTTTTACTTTGAAGGTTAGCTAGCAAGCGAATTAGCATAACAAAACCTCTGAATCACTCCTTGAAAGCTGTTTTTTACACAGACATGCTGGCTTGGCTTTGCAGGCTTTTAAAGGCATCAAGAGAATCTTTACTTCCTTGAAGGTTAATGTAGAGAAAGGGCTAACCAATTTGATTCTCTTTCTTCAAACTGTTGCAGCTTTGAGAGGAGAATTAATCTTTGCCAATTTACTATTTGCTTTCAAAAGATGACACAAATTATGAAAACACTTTCTTACTATTCTGACACAAACTTAAAATGATCTCTTTTAAATCCTGTCAGATAGTTAACTCAAAAGAAACGATCTTATAATAAACAAAATATATTTTAATGAGAAAGATTACTTGCGTTCACGTTGTGATTGGTGCTGCTGGAAATACATCTTTGTTCATCTTTTAGATCATCCCTTTAGGTAAGAAAGTGTTATTGCTCTTCACACCATCTTTATGTTTATAGGGAGACCTTCCATGGCCCATGCTTCTTACAGACAAAGAGATTCCCATGTGGCTTGTGTCCAGGAAGTCTCCCAAAGACCTTTGGAACTCCTCCCACTGACCCATCCACATACCTAGCATTTAACCCAATAACTGCCAGACCTTCCAACATAGAGCTGGGCCATAGAGCTATATGGGCCATAGAGCTATATGGGCCAGAACACCACATATGAAGTGTCCTCTTAGATTTCAGGAATATTGGTTATGTGTGTAGATTGAGTTTCCTTACTAGTATTTTCTTTATACACTTCAGGAGAATATGAAGATGGCAAATGATGGATATTTCCATAATGAAAACCTTATATGTCTTGTAGCTGACTTATTTGGTGCTGGTACAGACACAATGGGAAACACTCTGCGCTGGGCCATACTCCTAATGATGAAGTACCCAGAAATTCAGAGTAAGCACTTTCATAATATTGGCTTGCAATAAAGCTATAAAAATCACTGAAAAAAGAATTGTTGCCATCTGGAAAACTTCTTGAATGTAAGGAAAGAGATGAGCCAAGAATTAAGTTGCCTTTCAAATAGAATAGAATACTTTATTAGCCACATGTGATTGGAAACACAATGAATTTGACTCTAGTGCATAAGATCTCAGTATACATACAGACAAGTGTACAAAAAAATTACAAGTAATAATAACCATAAGATATCAATGGAGTAGGTAGTAGAAAAAATGAGAAGGATAATAATAATACAGCCTTACTACATGGGTAAATATCCTTAGACATAAGATAGTACTATGGTAATTAGGTGTTCAGCAGAATGTTGGCATGGGAGGAAAAAACTGTCCCTGTGTCTAGTTGTTTTGGCATGCAATGCCCTATAGTGGTGTTTTGAGGGGAGGAGTTGAAACAGTTTATGTCCAGGATGTGAGAGGTCTGTAGATATTTTCTCAGCCCTCTTTCTGGCTTATGAAGTATACAAGTCCTCAGTGGAAAGCAGGCTGGTTGCAGTTATTTTTTCTACATAACTATCTGTTGCCGTCTGTACCTCTCCTGTTTAGTTTCCATACCAAACCAGAAAGTAATTGAAGTATAGATGACAGACTCAATAATTTCTCTGTAGAACTGTATCAACAGCTCCTGGAGCAATCTGAACTTCCTGAGTTGATGCAGGAAGAACACCCTTTTTTGCATCTTTTTAATGATAGTTTTAATGTTAGGTGCCCATTTCAAATTCTGGGAGATTATAAGAACCCAGAAACGTGAAGGATTTTACTGCTGATACTGTGCTGTCAAATATAATCAGAGGTGGTAGAATAGAGGGGGCCCTTCTAAAATCCACTTTCATCTGTACAGTTTTAAGTGTGTTCAGCTCCAGATTTTCTGGCTGTACCACAGTGCCAGTTGTTCAACCTCCCATCTGTATGCAAACTCATCACCATCTCAAATAAGGCCAATGACCATAGTATCATCTGCAAATCAAAAACAACACACACACCCCAAAAATAAACAAGGCAACTTTGATCTCATGAAAGGTAAATAAATTAAACTTACATCAAAAATTAAAATGAGTTTTAATAAACTCAAAATATTTAAAGTTGATAATATTAATCTGCAAGAAAAGAAAACCTTGTCAATTTGCTGAAACATAAAAAAACTAGGCCAGGAGCATCCAGAATCAGAAAAGATAAAGAAAAATGGAATAGCAAACCGCTTTTCTGGGAAGTACTAGAACAATTAAAAGATAAATCCAAAAATAAGAGATTATGTTTCTTTCCACAAGACTCCAAGTGTAGTCAAGGATTCATATGTGCTGGATCTTGCTATTAAAGAGGTTCTCGCTATTAAAGAAATGCAGGTTTCCCCTGTGATATGGGCACATAATTTCAAAAAGAAGTTTAAAATATGTCAAACAAAATCATTTCAGAAATGCAAAATAACGGAACCTTATGATGTCACATCAGAAAACAGAATGAAAGAAGAATGATGACAGCAAAAGAGTAAAGGAATAGTTCCATTCGTAATTAACAGAACGTAATAATTAAAGAATATACAGAATTTTGAAGGAATTAAATACTAAGAACAAAATAAATGGAGAAAATAAATGCAGGGAAATCTCTTCTCTAAATGGAAATATTCTTAAAAGGAGAAAGAAGTGGAAAAGTGTGAAAGTAGGAGATCTCAGATTAATATCATGAAATATCAAGCACAAACAGATTTTCTAATAGTGCAGGTGAAATATGTTTGGATGTACCTATGCAAATTTTGAACTCCACAGAAAATATGACTTTTAAAATTACCACTAATGATATTTTCTGCATCTTCGTAATATTTCCTTCATATATGAATTTGTTCTCTGTATCCTTCTGATAGTTCCCCCTATATGAATTTGCTTGGTTTCTTTAATATCTGACAAAGTTCTTTCATGGTTTAGCACCAGTTCTTCAAAGATATATTTTTTATTTTGTTTTTATTCAGCAATTTGGAGACCACATGACTCCTGGTGGTTCTGAGTTGCCTACAGTTTAAAAATAACAATACCCCACCCCCCAAAAAAGATTCATAAACAGCCTGAAGATCTAGAAAAACCAACACCCATCTAACCAGGGCTCCATCCTCAATCTATCACAAACTCCAGGGGAATAGTCAGGTCTTCAGTAGTTTTCTGAATTTCATCAGAGTGCCAGCAATTTGGATCTCCAGGTGGTATCAGTTCCGAGAAGCCACACATCCTGGAGTACCATTAGATGCCTTTAATTGTTGGATCCAAAGTGTGCCCACTTACCCAATCTCACCAGCATTCAAATTGCACTCAGAAGCCTATTAAAAGTAGTCCAATGGGCTTACAGGGACATAATGAGACACACAAATCACTATCTACTGTGCCACAAACTGGGCTGGATATAATTTCTGAATGGTCTGCAAGACTTCCAGAGGTACAGTAGATTACAGCAGTCCATTTGTAAAGTGTATGAGTGACCGTCTGAAGGGCCGTCATCCAAGGATCACGATTAGTGACTATTGTATTATTCAGAATTTAGAATTTATGTATTAACTCCCATTTAAAACAAATTTCAAAAAAAATGAATAATAATATCATTGATACATAATATCATTTTGTTTTCCCAGGTAAGATCCAAGAAGAAATTGCAAGAGAAATTGGTGATATCCAACCAAGGACTGACCACCGAGCCAAAATGCCTTACACTGATGCTGTAATTCATGAACTTCAAAGATTTGCTAATATCGTTCCCTCCAATTTGCCACATGCAACCACCATGGACATAACTTTCAAAGGCTTCTTTATCCCCAAGGTGATTAATCTGAAATCACTGTATTATATAAGATCTAGTCTGCTGTGTAGCGTATGTAGAAAAAATAGTCCTTAAATGAATGGAATTGGCTAAACCAATTATTAGGCCATAGACTGTTATCGTATTAGAACAATTTTCATAGATGCATCAATCAAGGTGCCAATGGGAGATGTTTTTCTTTGGAATCTGGCATTCCAAAACTGCCCCACCTCCAGATTTATGAGAGATGCTCTCCTCTATTGCTTTATTCTTTTATTTCTTCCTTGTCTTAGTGTATTGCTTTATTTCCCCTCCTTGTCTTCAGTAAGTCTTGATTATTTGTTCTGGGTCCTGCATTTGCTTGATATTTTTTCTTTTTCTTTTTTTCACAAGATTAAAATGTAAACCTCAACAGAAAAAAGAAAAACAACAGTAAACAAAGCAAAAACTAGGCAATATTAAAAAGTGTTCATTTTTTAAAAACCCAAACAAACATATAAATTGCCTCCTCCCAGTTGAATACTGATAAATATATTTCAGCAATATCAGAGTCCGCCCTTGCAAAACAAGTCTACAATTTATAAAATTCTACATTTCTATTTGACCTACCATCTATCTATTGTAAGAAAGTACCCAGCAGGTAAACCAAACAAATTACTCTTCAAAGCCCTCTGTTAACAATCTATCATTGTACAGGTAATCCTCAGTTATGACAGCTCACTTAGCAACCATTTGAAGTTACGACATAAATCCCCCATCAAGTACTTCTGACACAGTCCCAAAGTTATGAATGTTGCAGCACCATGGCAGTCATTCACCCTTACGAATGACCGTGGAGGCTCTACAACATTCGCTCTGCCTATTCCCCCCCCCATCCCGTTGAATCTTCACAGGCACTGGGTCTTTGGAGATTCACTTACCTTGCGAAGATCAAGTGAGTCTTCAGTTTCCTTGAGTGCAGGCCTTGAGTATATTTGCAGAGAACAGAGGCCTAAAGTACTGCGAGATCAGTAGCGCAAGATGTCGCGGTACTGATCTCACATGATCTCGCATTACATTAGGTCTCTATTCTCTGTGAATTGAGGCCTGGACAAGAGCTATGGCAAAATGTTTTGCAAGTGGAGGGATGGATTCAGTTCTTTAGCCTTCTCTCCATTTGCTGTTTCCTTGGAGAAGTCTTCAGGAGTGACAGATTGCGTCCCTCTTGTCTCCAGCCATCTTTGTAAAAAGCCCTTGCCACTGAAAACAGAACTGCACTGAAAACAAAGCCCAGGAGGGATGTGGCAGCAGCTACATTTTCGGCACAGCTACATTTTCAGTGGCAAAGGCTTTTTGTAAAGATAATTGGAGCCTAGAGGGACGCAATCTCCCTCTAGACTTTGGCAAGCCTTTTCTCAAAGCAAAACTGCAGCAGAGAGAATGGAAAGGAGACAGCTCATCAACATTTTCAAAAGATAATATTTTAAAAAAACATATTTTATTAAATTTTATGAGGGTAAAGGGAAAGTAGGGTCAATAAGGGTATGACAAGGGGTAACAAACAAAAAAGGTTAGACCAGGGGAAGGGATAGGTACAATCGTGGGGTTATCCCCCACTATAAGTCAACGCTTCAACAAGTAAACCCGTCTGGGTATACATATTTAATCATACTAATTAATATAAAATAGTGATACTTAATATAATATTACTAATATATTACTAATTAACTATAATAACTTAACACATTAATATATTACTTATTAGTTATAATTATTTATTGTTAGAATCACAAATAGAAAAGAAAAAAAGAAATTCATAGGAATAAACATGAAGTTTAAATACAAAGTTTATATAATATTAAACAGTTATAAAGGTCAAATTAATTATAATCACATCACTAAAATTTGATAAATGGGTAAAATTCCTCTAAGTAGATATCCATACTTAATAACTTATCAATTATTTCTGATCATCACCATTAATATTTAAAGTTACTGGTAGTAAAAATATTATTAATCTAACAAAATAGAACTTAATTAGAAATCTATCATTTATTCTATTCAATTTTAAAATTCCTTTCAATTTTAAACTCAATTCATCTTCTAACATATTTTTAACCATCGATAAAACTTTTCCCAAGTTTTAAAATAAATTGAATCTTCTTTCTCGTTCATCTCCAAAGTTAATTTGTCCATTTCTGCACAGTCTAAAATTTTTGAGATTATAGCCTGGTCGGATGGTAAATTTTTATTTTTCCAAAATTGGGCAAATACTATTCTCGCAGCAGTTAATATATGTAGTCATTCTCTTTACCATAGCTAGATCTTACTATTCCTAACAAAAACAATTCCAGTTTAATTTCTATCTGTACTTTCATCATCTTTTCCAGCCATCTATGGATCTTAAGCCAGTATTTCTTTGTGATAGGGCATATCCACCAGGCATGGTAATAAGTACCTCAATTTTGTTTACATTTCCAGCAAGTATTTGATACATTTTTAAACATCTTCGCTAATCGAACTGGTGTCATATGCCATCTATAAAACATCTTGCTTTTGAGTAGATTTTAGATAATTATTAATAGCTTTAATTATATTATTATTTTTGACTTAATTTTTTAATATTTGTATTGATAAGGAGTTAAAGTATCTTATGGTTTTGATTGATGGTATAGCTGGTTTATGTTAGTTGGATTATATCTGTTTATTCTTTTGTTTTACCCTGTAATCAGCTCTGGGAAGTGGGGGGAGGGGGAAGGGGTGGGAGGGTTTATATTGTAATAAATTTATAAAACTTTTAATAAAAAAATATCTTATATAGATTTTCTTTATATGTTGCTGCTTTAGTAAGTTTAATATTTTTATCCCAAAGTTTTTGCCAGTCTTCTAAGTCTATAGAGTATCCAAAATTCTTTGCCCATATTATTATTGTTTCTTTTACTTGTTCTTCTTCCATCTTCCACCTTAACAGACATTTATAAAGTTTCTTAATCAAGTTCTTGTCTGTTTTCAAAAGTATTTTGTCAAGTGGAATCTGCTTTTTGTAAAATCCCATTGATTTTATATCTTTTTCATATCTTGTTTGAATTTGCAAATAAGACCACCATGTTAACTCAATACCTTGTCGTTGAAGAGTTTGCCTGTCTTTAAGTTTTCCATCTTTATCCTAAATATCTTTATAACTAACAAGTTTATTATAGTTAATTAAGTTCGGATAAGCAAATGCTTCCATTGTTGAAAGCCACTCAGGTATTTTCATGTACATTTGTGTCTAATTCTCTCCCATTCTGAAAGCAATACGTTTCTTATGGCATGATTTTGAAAGTATTTATGTGCTTTAGTTTTCTCATACCATAAAAAGGTGTGCCAACCTAATTGGAGGTCATGTCCCTCTAAGTAGAGAAGTTGTTTATTTCTCAGCGTAATCCATTCTTTCAACCAAAGCAAAATAGCTGCTTGATAATAAAGTCTCCAATCCAGAAGTCCAAACCCCCCTCTGTCTTTGGAATCTTATAAAAGTTTACATTTAATTCTTGCTTTCTTTCTTTGCCATATAAATCTTAGTATTATTGCGTTCAAATTGTCAAAAAAATTCTTGCTCAATTTGACAGGGACTGTTTAAAAGAGAAAAATTAACTTTGGTAGAATGTTCATTTTAACCGTCGCTATTCTTCCTAGCAGTGATAATTGAAGATTTTCCCACTTTTCCAAGTCTACTTTTATTTGTTTTATTAATCTCTCATAGTTGTCCTCTTTTAATGTTGTATATTTTGCAGTTAGGTAAATACCTAGGTATTTAACTTTTTTAGCTATTTGAAGATTTGGGTTTTTTGGCAAGTTTTTTGTTAAGACTTTAGTCTTTTCCTTATTTATTTTCAATCCAGCCACATCCCCAAATTCCTCGATTTTCTGCAAACGTTTAGGGGCTTTTTCCAGTGGGTCCTCTAAGATAAAGACCAAATCGTGTGCAAAAGCCTGTAGTTTATATTTCTGATCTTTAATTTCTAAACCTTTAATTTCCTTATCTTGTCTAATATTTCTAGCCAATACCGCCAATGTAAGAATAAATAACAAGGGAGATAGTGGAAATCCCTATCTCGTGCCTTTTTTATATCAAATCCATCTGTATAATCTCTATTTAAAAGTATTCTTGCTGTTTGTTTCTTATAAATTGCTTGAATTGCTTTAATAAAGTTCTCATCAAAATCCATTTCCTGTAACTGTTGAAACATAAATTGCCAATTTAAATTATCAAAAGCTTTTTGTGCATCAAGGAATACAAGTGCCATCTGATTCCCTGGATAATTTTCATAGTATTCCAAAACATTTAAAATAATCCTTAAGTTGTTTTTTATCTGTCTTCTAGGGAGAAAGCCATTTTGATCTGGGTGAATAAATTCAGTTAAAAAAATGTTCATTCTTTCTGCCATTATTGCCGCAAAGATTTTGTAATCCACATTTAATAATGATATTGGTCTATAATTTTTAATTTGTGTAAGGTCAGTATCTTCCTTAGGTATCAGAGTAATATTGGCTTCCATCTATGAGTTCAGTATTTTTGTCTGCATAAAAATTTCATTACACAAGTCTTTCAAAATTGAAGTTACAGTATCTTGTAAGGCTACATAAAATTCTGCGGGTAATCCATCTGGCTCCAGTGTTTTGTCTTTTTATTGCCTCTGTAATTTCCATCATTGATATCTTCTCATTTAACCTCTGTCGCATATTCTCAGGAACTTTTGGAAGATTTGCTTCTTTTAAATAATCCTGAATTGTTTCTTTAGAAATCACCTCCGCCTTATAAAGTAGACCTTAATAATTTTTTTCATTGCATCATTATGACAATGTAACTCTCCCTTTGAATCCTGCAGTTTACTTATTAATCTTTTTTCTCTTTCTTTTTTCAATCTATATGCAAGCCATCTTCCCAGTTTATTAGCATTTTCAAAAAAGTTCTGTTTGGCTCATTTAATCTGTTGTGCCCATATATCCATCTCAAGTAAGTTTAATTTGTGTTTTATTAAGTCCATTTGTTTCTTCAAATTTTTCTTTTGTGGGTCAGTTTGTAGCTCCGATTCTAAAGTACTAAGCTGTTCTTTCAATCTACACTGTGTTTGTCTCTTTTCTTTGTTCTTTTTGGCAGCGTAAGTTATAGCCAGACCCTTGAAATATGCTTTTCCATATCCCATATATTTTGAATAATAGTTTCTTCTTATTTTGTTAATTTTTTTTAAAAAGTCCATTTCTTTTGTTGCTAATTGTAGAAATTCTTTTTCTTTCAATATAGATTTGTTCAAGAATCTAATTTTTTCCTAGCTCCTTTCCAAGTCATTTTAATTGAATTATGGTCTGCCCAAATATTTGGTTCTATTTCAACTTCTTGTATCATAGTCTTTAAATCATAAGAAGTCCATATCATATTGATTCTTGACCATGATTTATGTCTGTTAGAATAAAAGGTATATTGCGCCTTTTCTGGATTCATCTCTCTCCATATATCCTGTAGACAAAGTTCATCTTTCATTTTTAAAAAGGATTTTGATAAAGTATTACTTCCTTTTTTCTCTTGCTTATGACTTTTATAATCTCGTACTGCATCCGCAATTGCATTAAAGCAGTGGTTCTCAACCTTTTTAATGCCGCGACCTCCCAGCCGGTCGTAAGTCGAGGACTACTCAACCGGTTGTAAGTCGAGGACTACATTTGCAGAATGGAACTTTTGGCGGACTCAGCAGGGCAGAAACAGCCTGGACAATTCCTGTTGGCTTTTGAAAGCCAATAGAATTAGACTCTATTCAAGAGAGTCTATTCTATTGGCTTTCAAAAGCCAATAGAATAAAAGGGAGTAGCACAGCTAAGGAAAAGGGGAAAAAATGGTGGACTGCGTTGTTTGGCGACCCCGTGAAATGGTCGTTTGACCCCAAATGGGGTTGCGACCCACAGGTCGCCTTTTTCCAGAAAAGTTCTATGATTGTTGAAAAATTCCTCTGCTTAACATTGAGTATCCAATCTATATCTTTTCGAGTCCCAAAAAATTAATAACCCTTCTGGGATCAGTCATCTAAAATTTACCCCTCTGTTAATCAGTTTCCTTGTTAAAAATTGATATTCTCTTCAAGCTTCTCTTATTCTTCTAGGAATCTGTTTAAGCAGTACAAGTTCTTTGTCTCTATATTTCAGTGGTTGATCCCTTACTGCTCTCAGGATCTCATCTCATGTAGCTCTTTTAAGGAATCTAACATGGACCTCCCTAGGCACTCTATTTCTTCTTGCATAGTTTGAGTTGAGTCTAAAAACTTGATTCAATTCTCTTTTCATTTTATCCATTTCCATTCCAAGTAGATCTGCCAATAATCCACTCATCAATTCTAGCAAACTCTCATCCTTCTCTTCTACAATATTTTGATATCTTAAAAAATATGATGCCCTTTCCATGTCTATGATGGCCATATTTCCTCCAATTCTGCATTGGTTTGCGCCAGTCTCTGATTTTCATCTTGCAAAACTTCTAATTTTTGATCCACCATTACTGATTTGTCTTCTATTTTTTGCATTCTTTGTTGGGTATCTGTCATCGCCTGTTGGAAAGCTTCCATTCTTTGGTGCATCTTAAGCAAATCATTTTTCAGATCTTCATAGTTTTTCTCCAAATCTTTTTTTTAATTTCCATTTTAGAATCTGCAATTGCCTGGAGAATAGTTTGTGTGTCCTTTTGTTGGGCTTTCTGCTGTAAGAATGTTATAATAGATTTTTGAGGAGCCGGGCTCACCAAAGTTGAGGCAGGGGCCGAAGAGCCCTTCTTCACCCCTTTCGCCAAGTTTGAGGCACTCATCTTCTAATTATTGTATTTATTTATTTATAATCCAATAACAGGCCCAATGGCTAATTCATTTGTAATCCAATAAAAAAGGCCCGATGGTGAGTTGTAATCCACCCAATAGCTCAGAAAACGAAAAAGAAGAAAAGAAAAAAATATATATGTTACAATCCAGTGGGTTGATAGAGGCTTTGGGTGGTCAGAAGCACTAGGCCCCCTCTCTATGCTCTTTCTTACCCTGAGATACCTCATCCACTTAATGACTTGCACATTCGATTAGCGAATGCATGAGTGAATGCAGGGAATTTTCATGTTCATTTAACGTGATTCACTCCAATGAATTCTCAAGTTACGAATGTAATTAGCAGTCTCCCTTACATTTCTAACTTAAGGATTACCTGTATTTCACAGAAAATCCACAATGGCTTCTAATTTACCGTAAACCACTGCAGTTATTATCTCTGTTCTGTCCAGGATCAAATATCTTCCACTGATTCTTAAAAATAAAATTTTTCCTTAAAATTATAACTGGGATCTTTTCAAACAATTGCATCTCATTCCCCAAAGTCATAGAACTCTGTTATGAATATCCCTGCAGCGTTTGCTGTTCAGAAGGTTTTTGTACAAGTTGAACCACTACTTCTCTTAATAGTTATCCCCCGATTTAATATAATACTTTTAATCCACAATCTCTATCAGTTTTCTTAATAAATTCGAGTTCATTGCTGATCCATACTGCCATTTGTCAGCCTTTTAAATTCATGCCCCATTCAGCCTTCTCCAAAGAGACTGAAATTCGTAAACAAAGCTCCTTCTCTTTCAATTCGGTCAGCAACAAATTGACTTCCAATCCACCCAATTGCAAGTCAGATTTACCTGCTGTTACCTGTATCTGAGTATCATCCTTACAGTCGGTTGGTTTATGACTGTTCTTAAATCACCAGACCTTTCATCTAATTTTTTTATTCAGTGCTTGTAAATTGAACAGCATTTTTTTAAAGGTTCCAAGAAGGATTTGATATTAAGTTAATCTGGTTCTTGCCTTGCTTTTGTGTCTCTTTTTGTGGGCATTGTAAAAATCATATAAAGTATAATATTAAAAATCCTTGATTTATTGTTTTCATTTTTAATATGATACAGATTTCTTTTATAGCCAGACTTTGACAAGAAAACATAGGCAATTCCTCTCAAGGACAAAAGAAATAGATGTTCCATAACAAAATGACCACAGGAAAAAATAAAGATATTTCCCACAATAGAGAGTAAATAGGAAAAAAATGGAAAATCCCCATTTCTTTAGAAAGAAAAAGAAAAAAAGATCATATATATATAAACAACTACAATGAAACAGTTCTTTTAAACACTAGTAAAATAGCAAACAAAATCCTTGTTGTAGAAATCTGATGCAAATATAAATCAAATCAAATCAGTAGTGAAATTATCAAGGAGAAAGCCTTTGCACTATAGGTTACCATGCAGCAAAAGACATATTGTTTCATAACTCCAAAACAAAGCAGTAAAAAGAGTTCACATTTATAGTCCAGCAAGGGGTATATAAAACAAATCAGTGTTCAACCAGATAGTTAATTAACAATGTAAATCAGAAGCAAAAAAAGGTTATGTTTAAAACCAAGGTGCATCTAAAAACAAACACAGGGAAAGATGGAGATGGAAATATAGCTTTAATATTTTTTTAAAATTGAACATTGCACCAGGTCCCATATTTACTTCTCAATAAACACTTTACAATATCCCTGTATTAATTTCTACAGGTGTGCATTAAATGGACATACTGTACTCCTTTCCGTATCATCCTTTTATCCTTTCATTTTTTTTAGGGCACGTACATTGCTCCCTTGCTCACTTCTGTGCTCCGTGATGAATCCCAGTGGGAGAAACCTCATGAATTCTATCCTGATCATTTTCTTGACTCTGAAGGAAAATTTGTGAAAAGAGATGCATTCATGCCATTTTCCGCAGGTGAGATTCTCTGATGTCTTAGAGAGTGTGTTTTATAAAAGGCAACTCTTAATTTCTTGTTGGAAACAATTGATAAAAGCTTGATCTCATAGACCTTATTCTGACAAGAGTTTAGGCCTCATGGACAGGCTCATTCAGGGACGAGTATGTTGATTCCAGAGTCTGCCAGGGGAATCCTCAGCTCTGTGCCTGAGTTACTGTTATTCCTGCTGTGCTGGCCTCAGCATCTCTGCGTTTTGGCAGTCCAGGAGGAATCTTGCCTTCCAGCCTTCCTGGCTGACTGGGGCTTTCAGACCAAAGAGTTTTGGCTCTTCTTAGCTTGGACCCTTTATTAGCTTTTCTTAAGCTTTTATTCTTAGGTCACATCAACATGGCAGAGCGTAAAATGCAACAAAGCAAAATAAAATAAGATGATAAAAAAGAGTGTTAGAGAGAAAGGAATTGGATTAAAATTAAACCAGAGCTACAATTAAGTACAATTTAAACAATTCTTTCTAAGTTTAAATGACAACAAAGCAAAAACAGAACCCTGAATCCTAATGCTTTGAAACACACCTAAAATAACCTAATCAGTCCTTTGAGGTCCAAGCCCTTCAGCTCACCTACTGTTAGTAGTTTGGCCCTGATTTCATTCTAAGCTGGCCAGTGAAAAGTGGTCATGAGTCATTTTTTTCAGTGCCATTATAACTTCAGTCACTTTTGTAAATTGAAGATTACCTGTAACGGTATCAGGAAGAAAATATAGATGAGTGTACCACAATCAGATATTTATTAGCATCCTTTTCAGAAGGCTTTGTCAGAAGTTTTCTCTATTCCAAGAACTAAATGTTCCTCAAAGACCAGAGAATTAGATAAGCAGAAGGGATGCCCTGGGGAGGCCAAAAATCTTTCCCATCAAGTTATTTTGGATTATGTCCAATTAAGTAACAACCCACTCACCCCAACACCTATCTTGGCTCCTTAAATATTTGAGCAAGCAACCTGCCCTACAATATTTTAATTGCTGTCTTTTGGAATCAAATATCTTAAGGATATTAAGTTTTTCATATACAGGACTAAGGGAATGTGATACCTAGATACTTTAAAGAGGAGCATTATTCCATGTGTTGGTATTAATTTTCCAACTTTTTGATATTATTTTCAAATTCAGAAATCTGCTGCCATTTAGTAGTTGGAAAAATTTTCATTCTCCATTATTGCATTTTTACATCTTTCCATATCTTTGATTTGTTATTGTTTTCTTGTGTGCTGATGTCTCCATGGCCACAGAACATTGGGAAACCCTTGAGAAATAGTTTAAGAAACCAATAAACACAAATCTCTTTTTTTGCCACCTATGCTTTCTTCCAGGTCAGAGGGTATGTGCAGGTGAGAACCTTGCCAAAATGGAGCTCTTCCTCTTCTTCACCAGCCTCTTGCAGAAATTTACCTTCCAGCCACCCCCAGGAACATCTAAAGATGACTTGGACCTGACTCCTTGTATTGGGCTTATTTCCTCTCCCATGCCATACAAGACTTGTGCTGTGTTATGTTGATCTGACCGAAAAAAAATATAACAAGCTGTTTTCGCAGCCTTAAAATGCCTTCATTTTGACAGAGAGGCAAAATTTAACCATAGAATTCAATATTGTCTAGTTTTTAAAAGATGAATGGTAATGATCTATAATCTCATGGAATGTGGATTGTGTTATGAAAGAATAGTAAGGAGTTCATGAAAAGCAAAGTGCTTTTCTTTTGGAACTATTTGTTTTCTTAGTTTTTTACTATTCTTTTGTCTTCTTCAACCTTTTTGTTGAGAACTTTTTGTCTGATTTGTTTTAATGAGGAACAGTGATTTTAATTACTTGATAAAAAGCAGTATCATTCTTTTGTGGAATAGTCCCTAGTGCAAATTTGCTTCTACACCATCCAGGGTCCCTCTGTGATAGCGATGGGCAGTTTTAAAAAATTAATCAATAAATAAATACCTAGTCATTAATTATATTCTTTTTTAAAAAACCATAAAATAATAATGTTAGTAATAGTAGAACTACTAACAATAATTATGATTTAAAAGTCCATTCTACACTACAGGAACCTCTGACAAAAATTAAGTTGGGAAACAAATGAGATTCAGCAACATTAAAGAATTTCCTTTTTCTTTGTAGGGAGCTTTAATTTATTTGCTATCTAATAGGAGGATTGATCCAATTTGTCCATCACCATATTGACCCATCTTGTTACATAATGTAGATAATAAAGTGTTTACCACAAAAGGATAAAATGTGCTTCTAAATAAACTGGTATAGATTGATAAGATTGGATTTGTTCCTAAGACATACATAAGTTATAATGATAAATGCACTGGGGGAGTGAGGACAAGATGGTGGGTATTCTAAGGGGAGAAACAATGGACCACCTGGTAAGCTGCTGCAAGAAGATTGCCCAGACTGACTACAAGCAGAGGCATGACAAATTAGCAACAATGATACATTGGAAGATCTGCAAGAAATATCATTTGCCTGCAAGCAAGAACTGGTGGGGCCATAAAATAGAGAAAGTCATAGAAAAAGACGTTAAATTGTTCTGGGGAATTTAGAATTCAGACACACAGGCATCAGCCACATAACACCCCAGACCTAGAAATTGTTGATAAGAAAGACAAAAAAGTGTGGATAGTGGATGTGGCAGTGCCAGGAGACAACAGAATAGAAGAGAAAGAACTGGAGAAGATAACAAAATACAAACACATACAAATAGAAATGGAATGACTATGACAAAGGCAAGCAAGAGTAGTAGAAACACTATCAAACATCCAAATGCAAAACCCAGTCTGAACATTGGGCTGACTGTGCAATTATTATTATTGTTGATCATGTTGTTATTATTATTATTATTATTGAAACATTCCATTTTCTACACTGCTTATCCTCCATGTTTCCACCTATATTGTCTCTTTATCAAGCATATTTTGGCATGGCCTTTAAGCTGAATCAGTCATGCTTTCTCCTAAAGGGTCCACATGTTCCAGTGAGATATTTGAAACTTAATCTTAAAATAAATATTAGACTTCTGCCCTTGTGCAAAAAGAATAATTAAACCAATTGATGAACACAAAGCTTATCTGAAATAAAAAAAGCAGCACCAAAATAGACAAATCATTCTCCGTTGCATTTTTAGAAATCAAAACAATCAGTAGATGATTTATTTTATGTACAGTGTCCAATAATACTGGTGGCTATTTTTATTATTAAAGAACCAACTCTTATTTTTCCATAGCATATATCAGTTGGCTTTGCCAACTTGGTAATTATCATGTAATAATGATATTTATATAATGGCATATTTGTGCTTCTCATTTTTTCAAAATGTTTACATATATTAACATCCCTTTTAATTTTTAGCTAACTGGACTATGTTTATAAACCTCCTTTTAATCTGCTTTTGTTCATTACCGTATATTCTTTTCTAGATTTTCTTTGTATGTGCAGAAGAAATAAATAAAAAATATAATTAAGATAAAATTTTAATTTGTGAAATAATTAGATTTATGAGTTCTGTGTAAAACTGCATGGATATATGTAGATGAAAAGCTGTGGCCAGTTTGGTCTAGTGGTTAAGGGACCAGGAAACCAGGAGACTGTGAGTTCCAGTCCTAGCTTAGGCATGAAAGCTGGCTGCGTGAGTTTGGGCCAATCACTCTCTCTCTCAGTCTAACTCACCAAACATAGTTGTGGGAAAAATAGGAGGAGAAAAGAGTATTAGCTATGTTCACTGCTTTATGTTGTTTATAAAAATAACAAATACAGGAAACAAATATCAATCAATAAGTGTAATGGATCAATAGTACTCTTCATTTGTTACTACCTTGAGGGATTCCTAAACACGAGGAGGGAGGGAAGCACAGGTACAATCTGCTTTGCTGGAGAGTGACTGTAACAGACTGCCCACAAACTCTTTCTGTGCAGCGAAAAGGGCAATAAACACAACAAGGTGGGCCAAAGTTAGTACGTTCTTTTCCATTCTACCTCCACATATGTAGAAATTCAAGGGTGTAACAAAGATTAATAACAACTCATAGGTGTGGTAAACATATTGGGGAATGTGTGGGAGTCAATTAAGCAAAGAAAGTAACACGGTCTAGCTTTTGATTCACCCACTGCTGTTTTGTGAACTGCAGTTCCCTGATCTCTCTTGTTTTGAATAGAACTTGCACTGTATGAGTCAAAGCCAGAGAACAGAATGAAGGACTGAGAACCTATCTTGGAAGTTTGGACTGGAATTTGGAAAGATGCTTTGGAGGGGGCTAAGACATATATAGCCCAATTGACACATTCTGAAAGCGGCAGCTTTTGCAGGACTCCTGTGTTAGCCAAGCATTCCCAAATAGATTCATGTTTAAGCTGAAAGTGCATCAGTGCCCACTCCATTACGCACCTTCTTTGAAGCCACAGGCCCATAACAGGCATAGCAAAGTTTTCAGGCTTTCACCTTAGCTGTTGCAGCAGAGAAGAATGTCTCTTTTTCTGTTCTTGGGAATAATTGATGGATATGTTGCATCCAAGAAAAATTGATCCAAAGGTGCCAGCATAGAGAACAAGTGCTTGTGAGTTTAGCGATAAAACAAAGCCTGTAATGGGAAAGTCTGTAATCTAAGAAGAAACTATGCAGACGTTTAAGAACTCTGAACTGGTTAGATTCAGCATCAGGGAAACTTAAAGAGGTTGCTATAAAGACATCTAGGGAAAGGAAAAAGACATGAGCAAGGTGATTTGAATCAGTACAATGAAAGGTTGCTCTGGGACATGAAATATCCAACTTAATAAAAGAAATGTCTTACGTGCAACAACTTTAAAGAAATGGATCACTTTGTAGTTGTGTGCCATACTCAAGAGCTGAGATAAGTTACAAACCACAGTGATTCCCAATCACTTATTTATTATCACAACTCTAGGTGATTTATTAAAAAAAAAATTCTGGAGAACCAATGACAGCAAAGCAAAAAACCCAACGTTCCCCCTGGTGGTCTCTTATGGCATTTCACCTACCAGAGAGACCCTTGAATTGATGCATTATGAAAAGTGACATTGCAGCAATCCAATCAAGGTCTTTGTTACATGTCCATTCCGGTCAGTGGAAGACAAGAAACATTGGCAAACTGTTTATCAGCTTTCTGGGATGAACCTTAAGCTCCTTTTGGAATTCTAAAGGGTGCTTTGGAATGGACCGAGTGAATATGTCCTATTTCCACTGGGGATAACTTGCATCTGGCAGCCAAACAACAGATCATTATCTGACTAGAGCAAAGGATTGATGAAAAGATTCTCCACATCATATCATAACTGTTCTGAGATAAAAGCCAGGCCTAGTGAATAACAATTTGTTTGCCTCTAGGATCAAGTGATGACTACCATGATCCTCTGAATTGTCCCAGATTCCCTGCCATCAGGAATGAGATTGAAATTCCCAAAAATGCTGGACTCAAATTCTCTATTGCCAACTGGCAATGAAACCTAGAAACTTAATCCCAACTGATCTCTTTAGCCAAGTTTCGACCAGAAGTTGCACACCCAGTCATTTGGTTGTTATGGTCATGCCAGATCATTCATCTCCTCCATCATTAAATCATGAATAATGAGATCCAAGTTCAAATATATGGTGTCTAATAACAGCAGCTAAACCCAAGAGCTACCAAAGATCCAGTAACTTGGTTCAGACAATTTTGAGAATGATCAAACAAGTCTAAACCATTACTCCAGCTATGCCTATGAGTGGGCCATGCTCCATTTTTTACCGTTTATCCCACTGTCCATAACAATCTTGATTGACTTCTCCTGCCCTCAGTTCCCTCATGGATTCAATTACATGCACACTACCCAGTCCAGGGGCAATAGAAGAAGGGGATGACAGAGAATGAGATGCGGGATGGAGTCACTGAAGCAGTAGGTGTGAACTTAAATGAACTCCAGAAGATAGTAGAGGACAGGAAGGCCTGGAAGAATATTATCCATGGGGTTGCAATGGGTCAGACATGACTTTGCAACTAACAACAACAACCCAGTCCAAAGAAACTAGTCATCTTTATCTCAGGGAAGTAAATCTTCCCCAAACATACATGCCAAATACCAGCAAAAACATTCTGACAGGATGCAAGAAAAGAAAGAGACATAGCAAAAGGGAATGGAGGTGAAATGATCCAGTGGACCAAGCTGCCCAACCATGAAGCAACTCTGACGCTGAGTTGAAATGGCTTTAGTGATAATCTATTTCAACAAAGAATCTTCGAGTCTCAGTTGCTATTGCAGATTGTTCTCTATATTTGTGGGTGTTGAGTCCTCGAATCAATGGCAAATGAATACAGCACATTCTGTAGTTCCAACAGCTCTTTTATTGAAGTCTTTTCCACTCCGTCACAGCTCTGAGGCTTGCAGGCCTCTCAGACTCCTTTTAACAACGTCCCCAGGCAGAATGGTAACAATTAGGTGCGCTCTGAGCCTCGCGCATGCACGCGAAGCCAGCGCCAGCCAGTTTGGTCCTGGGCAGCTTGCAACTGCCTGGGACCATTGCAACGTCCCAAGCCTGCCTTTGCAGGCTCAGGACACAACACCCCTTCCCCCCAGATGAGACTTATTAACTATATAGGTAGTTATATGCGACCTCAACACGATCGTGGTGTGCCAACCCCAAACCTGCACATCTATTGCAGCTGTGCAATACCCACACCACAAATGGTACCGGGCTATAGTTCTGGGATTAATACCCAATGCCCATACTTCCATTTTCCTCAACAGCAGGCACCCTCTCACTTTTTCTGCTTTGCCAGCAGGGTTACAAAGTCCTCAAGATACTTGGGAGATCTTTTTACTCTCTGTGACCTCCTTAGATTCTGAGAATCCCCTACTTCCTCTTGTACAGAGGATGACGTGGAGTTGCCCCCTCTTTCAAACCCTGGTGGTCCCCATGAACTGTGCCCCATTGCCTGGTCTGCTTGCTTGCCCATCGGGCTCGTCAGACCAAGACTTTGCTCCCTCATGAACCTGGTTGACCTGCCTAACTGTAGGCTCTCAGGCCCCTCTGTAAGCCTGCCACTGTTTGGCATTTCTGTAGAGCTCTCCAAGCCCACAATGGACCTATCAAGGGAATGCATCCTTTCACTCCCAAGCCCCATAAAGGGATTGTCTGGGGTTTCTGCAGTGCCCCAAAATTCAGTTGCCCTCCAATCTATGCCGGAGGTGCCAGAATTGGGATTTGCCTCTCCGACCATCTCCCTGTGTGAAGGCTTCCTTCTGGAAACAGTAGCAGTACTGGGCCAACTTGACTGTTTGTGTGCCAGCTCTCTTGCAATGTTTGGGTTATTAGGATGCTCCCAGTTATTCTCCCTGACTGGAGTGCTGAATGGTAGTTGTGAATGATGAGTATGCCCCCTGGGTGACTCCCTGGCTGGAGTAGGCACTGGTGCCTGTGTGATTTCTTGTTCCCTTGAATTCCTGTTTGGAACACTTGCGGAACCTTGGAACAGGCCGTCTGTGGCCTCTCCGTTTGGCCCCGGCTGCTGCCAACACCCTTCCCTTTGCCCATAGTGGTCCCCCTCCCCCCTGGAGAAAGCCCAGGAGTTCCAGAGGGTAAGTCCAGTCTCATACGCAGCTGATTGATATGCCGCCGAAGGACACGACCATCGTCCAAGGAGACCTCGTATGACAAAGGGCCAGTAACCTTGCATACTACGGCACGAACCCACAAGT